TTATACAAATGATAATTTTTTCTTTGCTGTGGAGTGTTTAAGAAAATAAGTGATTCTGCTAGGCATTTGAGATTTCACCCCTAAATGAAATGAAGAAAATGAAAATCTGCATATACAAGCAGTAGCTACTGGAGTCTTTTAAAAATTCTGTATCCCTAGGTGTTTGAATTAAAGTAGGAAGTGCATTTGTAAGATATTAAGCTTTCGCAACATGCTATAGGATCACTTAGAGACTTCAGGTACTGGTTGGATCCAGTGGAGCATTTACATAGACAAAGGATTTCAATCCATGGAGAGTGACTTTCTTACTTTTTTCCCCCCCCCCCCCAGTAATCCAAAATGTCCTCACTGAGGAGCATTGGGGGCTGCAGTGTCTGCTGAAACACTCTGCTGTTTTTATACTTAATAAAAAATCAATATAAGCAACTATAGATAGCAGGTTTGTAAATTAAGGGGGATGACAGGATGGAGGGTTTCAGCTTTTTTAGTTCCAGTGGTTAAAAAACCCTCCTCCACCTGTCTCTGATTACAGGTGAGCAACTTGACATTGTGCACTTTTATAGACTGTCTTGACAAAATTCTTTTAATTTAAAACAATCTGTGCATTAATTTGTGTGTTGAGGTATTGGTGGAGCTGTGTTAGCTCCCCCCCCCCATAACTTTGCTTGATCGAGAAGACCCTCTCCCAGGTTGGCGCCCACTTGATCTCAGAATGTGGGGGCAACTGAATCAGGGCCTTGAAAGATGATCACAGTAGTCAGGTAGCTTCATAAGAGAGTAGGTGGTCCTTCAGGTATGTTGGTCTCAAATCATAAAGGGCTTTACAGGTCATCGCCAGTACCTTCAGTTATGCCTGGAAACAGGTTGGGAGCTAGTGTATATGGCCAAGACTGGAGTGATATGGTCCCTATTACCCATTCCAGTTACATCCCCACATAGAGCATATTGCAATAGTCTACTCTGTATGTAACCAGGCCATGCACCACAGTGGCCAGATGTTTTATCCTTAGGAAAGGCTGCAGTTGGCTAACCAGTTGAAGCTGGTAAAAGTCACTCCTGGCCATGGCTGCCACCTGCTTATCTGGTGGCAGGCCTGGGTCCAAGAGCACCTGTTCCTTCCAGGCATGTGCAGCCTATCCAGAACAGCTTATACACAGCTTCAAGAGGGGATTGGATAAACATATGGAGCAAAGGTCCGTCAGTGGCTATCAGCCACAACATATAGATGGAACTCATGGCAACCTAGCAGTTCGAAAGCAAGAAATTGCAAGTAGATAAATAGGTACCGCTTCGGTGGAAAGGTAATAGCGTTCTGTGTGCCTTGGCATTTAGTCAGACAGCACTGGCTCTTCTGCTTGGAAATGGAGATGAGCCCCGCCCCCTAGTTCAACTAGCTTTCGAGCAAGGGAAACCTTTACGTTTATAGATGGAACACTAAGTCTCGGGCAGTGATGCTCTGTATTCTTGGTGCTGGGGGGGCAACAGTGGGAGGACTTCTGGAGTTCTGGTCCTGCTGGAGGATCTCTTGATGGAACTTGGTTTTTGGCCACTGTGTGACACAGAGGGTGCGTTCAGACGGGGGATTTACAATGGTTAGGGTGCCGGTTACAACCGGTGTACTTACGGGCGTTCACACGGCAAACATCTGCCTCCCGTCCCTAACCATTGTAAATCCCTTTAAACCGTTGCACTCTGCCACTAGGTCCCAAGTGGTGGTAAACTGAGTGCAACGGTTGAAAACGGTGCACCCCGGCGTCTGATCGCTCTCCAAACGTTGTACAGCCACTTCCGTCGGAAGCCTGAGGCTTCCGGCTTTCCCCCGCCATTTTTTTTTTTAAAAAAAGAAGCGATATGCGCTCGGGCGAAGCTTCGCCCCGAGCGTTTGTTAAGAATAAAAAAGTACCCTTACTTTAACTTCCCAGAGCAGTCCGGGACTACAGGGAGGCCAGGTTGGGCTTTAAACGTTAAAGGTAAGTCCTTACCTTTAAAGTTTAAATGTAATGGGGTGGGGGGTTTGAGCATGCGCAAAAATCGCCATTCTCTGAATGGCTGCCTATACGCATGCTCAAACTGTCCTTAAAAAAAAAAACAACGCCGACGCCTGCAGCGTGTGAACGGGCGTCCACCGGAGGGATCCGCAAAATGGAGGGTAAGTGTGATCGCGTTTCTGCTGGCATAAACTGCACCGATTCCAACCAGCGCAGTTTATGCCGGCAGAAACGCCCCGTCTGAACGCACCCAGAGTGTTGGACTGGATGGGCCATTGGCCTGATCCGACATGGTTTCACTTATCTTTTGCATTCTTATAGGTGACATCTTACATCCTGAATCAGCACTTCTGCTCCCCAGTAGCAGCTCTGTCTTGTTGAGATTCAGTCTCAGTTTATTAGCCTGCATCTACTCCAAAACTGCCTCCAGGCACTAGTTCAGTGACAACCTAGCCCAGGTTTCAAAACCAGCTAGTTTATGAAACCCTATTGGCACAATATATGGCTAATAGGCTGTATTCACCTTCATGGGTCACAAGCTGTAAAGGATTGTATTAAAAACAAAATTAAGGTAAAGGACTGAACCAACTGTATATCTCTGTAAGCAATATATGCAGCTGAGACATTTCTGCCCATTCTGGCCAGCTTAGTAGCCTTAACTCTGATGATATAGTATGAAATAAAAAAGAACATATACTTTATATGCATTCTAAGAAACAATTCATTGACTGAGTACTGTTAAATAAACTGTTTATTTCTAAATTGTCTTGTTTTTACACATTGCTGCATCTTGATCAGGATTATACTTTTAATAATCATTTATTTAGTGCCAGTAGCAGGTTACACACCATGCAGAACCTAGAATCATATATGTACATGGTTGTGATTTTGTGTGTGTGTCACAAAGGTTTTGGGATTACTTGTGTTAGGGCCACAGTATTTCATTTCTATGTTTTTAGCATTAGGTGTTGAGCATGCCACCCATGGGCTGGGTCTGGCCCTGCAGGGCTCGTATCCGGCCTGTGAGCAACTGGATCCGTTTTGCTTCGTTCTTTGGGGCTGCTGCTGCATCGCAGCTCGCTTTCGGCAAGCTCCCTCTGCTGTTTCCTGCTTCCTTCCAAGCCTCCTTCCTGCTTCCATAAGAACATAAGAGAAGCCAATGTTGGATCGGACCAATGGCCCATCCAGTCCAACACTCTGTCACACAGTGGCCAAAAATACCAGGTGCCATCAGGAGGTCCATCAGGGGGGCCAGGACACTAGAAGCCCTTCTACTGCACCAAGAATACAGAGCATCACTTGCCCCAGACTGAGAGTTCCTATCTATATCTTGTGGCTAATAGCCACTGATGGACTTCTACTCCATATGATTATCCAGTTTCCTCTTGAAGCCAAGCCTCCCCTCCCTCCATTGGCTGAGGGCCCCTCCCTTGGGAGGAAGGGAGGGGGAGGCAAAGAGTGAGAGTCCAACCCAAGAGAGAGAGAGCAAAGTCTGAGTCCCGTGGCTCATTTAAGATCAGCAATGTTTTATTTCAGGTATCAGCTTTCCTACACTACTTCTCCAGAAGGAGGGAGGGTAGGTAGGTAGACGGATTCTTCTGACAAGCACAATTTACATTGAGATAACTGTGCTCTGCTGTTTTCTTTGAGACTTGATATCTCTCTGTCTCTGTTTCTCACACATACACACATACACAGGTGTATGTGGGTTAAAGGAAGGGGCACATTGGGATAAGAGAAAGAATTAGAAGGAAATTATTTTGGTTTATTCTGAAAAGTTTTTTTTATAAGACTAGATTTCTTTGCACCTATCTGGGATTTCATTTTCTTTCAAAAAGACCCTGATTACTTGGATTGGTTTCCATTGTTTAATAACTCAGTTCCATTTGATTCCATTGTTTAATAATGGAAGTAGCTGGCTAAGTATTTAAAATACATTCATGGTTCCATATGTTCCAGTTCAGCACGTTTCCCTTTCTCCCCTCCCACCTTGCTGGCTCCCTTTCTTCACTCCCCCTTTGCTTTTTCAACTGTTTCATTATCATCACCAACTCTTGAATGGATTTTGCCCAGTCTGAAATCAACACATTATTTCACTTGGAGAGATCCCCCTCTCTAGTTTAAGCAGATGAAGAAGAAAAAAGAAACCTAAGTACAGTTTGCAAGCTTTATTAGTGGAAAGGAACAAGAGTCTAATAGCACCTAACAAAATTTGTGGCAGGGCATGAGGTTTTGTGAGTCACTGCTCACTTATTCAGATACAGCTAGAATATGAGTCCATTGGTCCTTATATCTTGGAAAGTGCAGTGATTTCAGATGCAGTGCAGTGATTTCAGATGCAGGCGTTGGTAATGAGACAGGAAACCTAGGTCTCAATTCAGCCCTGGAAGATGCATTGAACTTCATTATCAGTTGCAATTCAGCAGTCTGTATTTCTAATCTTACTTTGAAATTCCTTTGTAAGAGGACTGCTAGTCTTAGGTCAGCAACATTCTGGAAGGTTAAATGTTCCCCCTGCTGGTTTTTGATTGTTGTGGTTTCTAATGTCAGACTTACGTCCATTTATTCTTTGCATCCCCCTGGACTGAATTGAGACCTAGGTTTCCTGTCTCATTACCAGTGCTGGTATCTCCACACCTAATCCAATCAAGCCTGCTGTTGTCATTCACCTGCTATTGCATCTGAAATCACATAAAGTTTATATTTCTGGTATCTCATGTTACATTTTATAGTACGGATGGCCCAGCCCAACAAAGTGTCATTTATGTTAGATCTGGCCCTTGTAACAAATGAGTTCAACACCTCTGTTATAAGATGAATATTCATTTGCAAAGAGGGTTTTGTGGAAGGTGAAACAAACCAATTAAGATGAGAATGCTGTTTTGTTGAGGTGTAAATAGCAATAATTGCCTTACTGGAGGACTTCTGACCTGTGAGAAGGGGGGGGGGAGTTTCTGGGGAGTTTTTTGTCTTTGTTTGGATAACAGTTTTTCCCCTTTATTGCTGACAGGAATGGCCAAAGAAAAGTACGATCCCACCGATCCACGGAGGATGTACACAATTATGTCCTCAGAAGAAGCAGCCAATGGGAAAAAATCACACTGGGCAGAGTTGGAAATAACTGGTAGGTGGAGGAATACCTGTTGTATAGGACACAATGGATAAAAAGTTTTTTTCATTTGATTTTTGCTTAAAATGTGAGATTAGTTTATTGCAGTTGTTTCCACCTTTCATGTATAATACACACTGGAGGTCTTCCGTCTAGACATTGACTGGAGCCATATATGGTTAGTTTCAGCAGACTTCCTTAATACATGCTTTCAGATGTTACTTTATGATGAAGGACATATAAAATATCCTGGAAAAACAACATGGTTGAAGAAGAGATCTAGCGTTTTCACATGAATTTTAGACTCTGTAATGTGGTGCAATTAACCTGAGATGGGGGGGGGGGATCTGACTTTTGAGGTGAACTATATGATACCAGTTTTTTATTGTGTTAAGTATATGTATGATCTGGTGCACTGTGAGTGCACTAACTACAGACAGAGAATTCCCAGTAGAGCCCTTTATTCATCTCTTCTTCCTTACATGTGTTTAGGTGGTTCTAGAGCCTGTTAGGGTCCACTTGCAGTGTGGGTGCACTTCCAGTGTCTCCATCCAAGTTTCCTGCTGCTTCTTTGCTGGAATGTGTGTAAACAAGTAATCTGCACAGGGAGCAGGGCTGGGTGGAGCTATGGCATACTGGATTATGACTTCTAATATACAGGGCATCGAAACAGAAGTCGTGGATATTCACTTTTCATCTCATGAGGAAACTCTCCTAATAATTCATACACTTCTAGAATTTGAGTCTTCAAGTAAGATTTCTTGCTTAGTCTCCTGGCAATTGTACAGAATGTGCCAAACATTTTGCATTTTAACCATGCATTTTATCTCATCAATGGACAGTTGTGTTGTTTTTGTGCCCTCACAACTAGTGTTGCATTGGTTGTTGCAGCTGCCTTGAGCTGAAGTAAATAAGGTGTGGTATAGATATTTTAAAGATCTGTACTTTATTTAATCTCACAAGGGCTCCTCTTTTTCTAAGCAGAGCAAAATGTGGATAGCATGACCGCAGGTTTTGTGTTTGCTCTTATGTTTAATACTCTTAGCGTTAATGGTACATTCTATGAATTTACTTAGGACAAGCGTTGCTCTGTAACTTCCTCGCTCTTTTCTGTATATTGTTTTTAAAATGTGTTGGTATGATATTTATCTTCCAGATAAGGAGGCCAATTTTAGTGACAAGCTCCATATTTTTGATATAAAATCCACATCTTTATATTTAAGTTACTTAAGAACTCTTGGGTACATGCCATTTGGACCTGGGGACTGGTTTGTCAGTTTGTCTTAGAACTTGATCTTCACCTGTCCTCATGGTTCTAATGTGGGTATGTGTTCAAAACCTTACACAGTGAAGAGTGGCACATAAGATTCCTTTGGCTGCTTTACAATCTCCCTATCATCCAAGCTGTATTCTATTGGAATTGTTTCTGCCTTTTCCAATTTCTGGCATACATTATTTCTGATCCTGTATTATAATGGCTTCAAATAACCTCTATGCATCCTGAAGAAATGTTACCTTAGTGATTCTTCCTTCCAATTTATTTTAAATACTCTCCATTTTTGTCAAGTTTCGTCTTTCAAAATAGGTCTGTCTTGGATTTTCTGGATGATTCACTGTCTCCATTCCCCCCCTCCCCCCCAAAATGGGTCAACATACACTTAGACAAAATCATGGATGCTACTCAGGATTAAATTCAGGGTTGCCACCCTTGTGTGCTCTGTTCCATGACTGATATTAGGCACAATGATTGTATCTTGAAAATGAATCTTTATTGTAATCAGAATATACTCTTATAGTCAAGTGACAAAGTTTATCCATTATCACAACTTATTTCTTCTTCGTAAGATCACCCCCAGGGTTTTGATCAGAAGTAGTAGTAATATCCTCAAGAGGGCAATTCGAGATAGATAACTATCAGATTAGCTACCATATGAGATTGTATTCTTGATCTTTTTCTTTCTGTGGTTTCTGCTCTCTTATGAGGAAGGATTTAATTGTGCCCAAAATAGATGTGAGAAGTTAAAATGTTGAAGTACAAAGAGGTTTGGTTGCTGTGTGAAACAGAAATAATAGGACATAGTTTACTTTTTGAAATTTGAAGTGAAAGTTTAAGATGAGTCGCTGTCTTAGTCTGTCTGTAGCAGTAGAAAAGAGCAAGAGTGCAGTAGCTCCTTAAAGACTAACAATGTTTGTGGCAGGATATGACCTTTCACAAGTCACTGCTAACTTCTTCAGATAAGTGAAAGATATTGGGTGAAGGAAGAGATCATTTTAAATGGTGTCTTTTTACTTACATTTGCAGATGTACTTGAATTTGTGTGTGATTGAATATAAATTATCTGTATTCTTATTTGTTTTCCAGGGAAAGTAAGAAGTCTAAGTTCATCCTTGTGGTCACTGACCCACTTGACAGCATTGCATCTCAGTGACAACTCCTTATCCCGTATTCCTTCAGACATTGCCAAGCTTCACAATCTAGTGTATTTGGACCTGTCCTCTAATAAAATCCGCAGTTTACCAGCAGAGCTCGGAAACATGGTGTCACTCAGGTATAAAATATGAATATATCACTTGAGGGTCTAATGTGAACAGTGAAATTGTAAGCTTATATACCTCACTTCAGCAGAAAGCTAGCTCCTGTCAGCTTCTGCTAATTTTGAACTAATGTTTGATTTGTTTCCACTTTGCATTATAATCTTGACTTCTAGTGCCTTGGAAATTCTGAATTGCTTATACTCTGTGCTCCAAATCACAGAGGTTTCTTTTTTAAAAAAATGGTGCTCCTATAAGGGTGCAATGAGTAGGAACCTATTTGAATTTGTTACAAGTTTCAGATATGTCCTTGTCCAGATTTGCCTGGGATGACAGATTACTTTTTGGAAAGATGGAGTATTGTGCCTCAAGCACTGAACTTGCTTCGTGTATCCCCTTGGATTATTAGTCAGTTCTGTGCCAGTGGTCTGTAGCTGGATGACTGGTGCTTTTTTGAGTTTGAGTGAAACTTACTCTAAAATATTTCATTGGCTTTTGGGGTGAACAGTCATTTGTAGATACCATCCATTGGTGTCTTTTCATAAAATCATGTCATTTATTTTGTTTATACCCCACATTTCAGTTTCAAGGAATGTCCAAGGGAGCTGATAATTACACAGTGAAATAAGTACATTATAATTTTTAAATCACCATAATTTTTTTTTAAAAAAAATGCCTGACTTGGCAGTAGCAGTAGAAAATCACCTGTGAAAAGCAGTCAGACGGGGTTACCTTTACCTGGTGCCTGAAGCTCAGCAAAGGAAGTGTTTTGGGCCAAGTGTTACACTGTTTTGCATCTCTTCTGAAAAGGCCTTGTTTCTGATTAAGACGACCTTGCCCATTTCCCTCCTTCAGAGGCAAGATTTTCCCTCTGTTTTTCCTTCTCTTTCTGACTGAGCAGTGCTATTCATCTGTTTCCTTTGTCTCTGAAGAACTATGTCTGTCCCACCTTGTCACAGTATGATCTTTTGCTGCTGGTTCAGCCCAGGAACCTGAGGAAAGGGTTGAGATCCCCCTTTAACTTTGACCACTGAAATGGCATGCGAGGCTTTTTAAAAGTGAGATGCACAGCCAAACATCAGGATCCAGCCAGGAATTATATCTGAAATGGGCCTAATATATTTAAATGTGACCATTTCATTAGAGATTTTTGATGACTGATATAGTCCATTGGGTTCTTGAAAATTAACAGCCTAATCCTTGGATCGTGGATCTCTGTTACCTGGGAACAGATGTGAGATTCTCTTATGTGTATAAGGTGCACAAAACTTCTGCCCTGATAATGGCAATGGAAAGGTGCTGGATATAGAAACTAATAAAGAAGAAAAATGACTGCAATCACTAACTCACATACATACATAGACCTTTATTGGCATAACAAAGGAACAATAAGGAAGGCAATGGAACAAATAAATTAATAGAACGAATTAATAGATCATAACAAAATGACTGCAATCACTAACACTTAACTTTGCAATCACTACAGTATTCCTATGGATTAGAGCATTTGTTACATACATATTCCAACAGAATGATCAGTATAAGCAGTTTGATAGGTACCTATGAACCTAGAACGGGCTATTGGGAGACCTTAACATGAATTATTTTTAAAAACTGACTCAGCACTCTTAAGGTAATTCAATAAAATACAGAATTCTATAATAATTAATAGGCCAGAACTAAGTTAAGCTAAAAAAAAATTGCCTCAATAAATAGCTTCTTAACATTTCCGATAGTTCTTATAATTTTGCTGGTTGTGCAATTAATTGTGTTTAAAAAAAAGCTGAAGTATGCTGATGTACAGAAAAGTTTTTTAAACATACTTATGAGCAGAGAAGACCAGATGTGGCAAATAGGCCTGTCATCTTGCTTATATCAGTATGAATTTTGGTTCTTCCACCTACTAATGACTTTAAATTATTGATTTTAAATTAGTTGTTTTATGTATTTTATATATTTTATTGTGTTTTATTATTTATATTATAAGTTGGCTTGAGTTCCTGTAAGGTGGAAAGGTGGTTAATAAATGTTATAAATAAATTGGTTGTGGTGCTATTTTAAAAAGTATTGCATATTGGCTCATTATGTTGTTTTGATCGATGTAGATTCAAGATGTTGGAACTGTTGTTGCTTCATTGCTGAGGGGGGTTTCATTTTACTTAATGCTTGAACAAGATTATGTTTAGAAGACTTGCTATTTAGTGTGTATTAATTCATAAAAATTAATATTGTCAGATTCTGCAATCCTAATTTCAAATTCAGTAATTCTTGCTGGCCAGTCTTCCATCCTTTTTTAAAACGTGTTTTAGTAGAATTTCTCATCTGTAGTTAAACACTTTTAGTTTTAAATAATTAACTATTTTACTACTTTTGTCTTCATGTGACTTTTGCCTAATAGGGAACTCCATTTAAATAACAACCTGTTACGAGTTCTACCATTTGAACTGGGAAAACTGTTTCAGTTACAGACATTGGGTTTGAAAGGTATGCAGTTAATTTTTTTTCCTTTGCCTTTTGTATGTGTCTTTATTTGATTGCGTTCTTCATCAGTAATCACTTTACCATGTTGGCTGCCAGCAGTAATCACTTTATGACCTAGGCTGCATTTTGTCTCATATCCTGTGGAGCAGCTTGTAAGGATGTGTGCGGATGCAGTCCCCTTACCGCCTTCCTTCAGTAAACTCTGAGAATTCTGAATGCTGCTGCTGAAGGTTGTGGGAATGGGGTATATACTTTATTTCCTTCATTTGTAGTCTGCCTTTCCTCACGGAGACTCAAAGCAGGTTACTCAAATTGAAATTAATGTAGCCAAAGCAGTAATGCATGCAACCAACAGTATAATACAACTGGATTATAAAATTAGAAAACAACATGCCAAAAACAGTACAGTGAGGCTCCGGAACCAGGCTGCCATTACTTCTGTGTTAGTGACATTTTCTGCTTCAGTGGAAGTGCTGCTGATGGAAGGGAAGGGTGATTTCATTTGGTTTCACCTTCTCAGTGTAGCCCCCCCTGACATGTGACTTTAGTCCATGAAAATTCTGCAACTTCTCCAGCACCAGAGTTCTAAAGATCTCCCAAGGACTGATGAAGGGGGGGGGCAGCCTGGGGACTGGGAAAGGGCTGCATCATGCTCATCCTTATGCACATGGTCCATAGCATCTATGTCATAGAAAATGTTTCCTTCGTTAATTTAATTTTCTTCTTATAGGAAGCTGAACTGACTTGACTAAATCCATTTCTCGCCTGTTATTGATTTGAATTTCTTTCCGTCTCCCCCAGCCCAAAGGAATGTTGTTTCATAATTTAATGAAGTCTTAGCTTTTCAATAATAGTTTTAGTTCTGGTTCCTAAGCTCTAAGTTAAGCTTCCCATATGTTAGCTTTTACAACAAACCTAGATCTATGTTCCTGAAGTTTCATTCCCCCCCCCTTGCACTTTTACAGGAAACCCACTTACACAGGATATTCTAAATCTCTATCAGGAACCAGATGGAACAAGAAGGCTACTGAATTATTTGCTCGATAACTTGGCAGGTACTGCAAAAAGAAGTAAGTGAAGACTTTTTAACCACTTAATTTCAACATTTAGAATAAATATTACCGTCTCATGTTTATTTTTTTCTTCCTCAATAGTTTCAACAGAACAACCACCTCCCAGATCTTGGATTATGTTGCAAGAACCAGATCGAACAAGACCAACAGGTAGCTTTTAAGGTTTATCCTCTCAAACCAAAGAACTTTCCCATTCTTTTTCAGGAACTTGTTTCCCTTGCAGTGAGAGAATACCTTCTTTTTAAAAAAGTTCTTCTCAGTATACATACTCATTGGATTGCCCTGAAAGCAATTGAAGTTTAAAGTTTCATTTTAAATATAAACATACTTTAATATTATGCTTGTATGTAGGTAGTTTGGCAGAAAATGCTTGCATCTTTGGGGACAAAGTTTGAGACCAGTGGCACCTTTAAGACCAACAAAATTTTATTCAAGGTATAAGCTTTGGTGTGCAAGCACACTTCTTCATATACAGACTTCAGATACACTATATTTGAAGAAGTGGACTCAAACTTTGTTCTGCTGCTTCAGACCAACACAGCTACCCAACCTGAATCTCTTTGGGGGTAGTTATAATAGGTCAGAAATGGGACCTCATGCAGCATCAGGTCATCATTTAATAGCCTGACCCTCTAAGAGTTTCCTTGGAAATAAGCTACACTGATTTCAGTGGAACTTACTCTCACGTAATTGTACCACTTGAAATTCAGTAAGAGCTCCAAAGAAGTTTAAGGATTACTTTAATCTTTGGGAGTGGAGGGGCTAGGTAAATTCTTAAAATGAGCTAGTTTTTGTTGTTGCATTTGCTGTTGACTTTACGAGACCAGGATTTACACATTGCAGTTGTCTCTCTTGTCTGCACCTCATTACTTAACAGATCGTACCAGCATTTTTTTTTTCACTTGGTGCATGCTGGATGTCCAAGCATAGCTGTTGAGTGGACATTGTGTGTAGAGAACATAGTGAGAGCCAGTAGGGTGGCGTGAATAAAATGCTGGACTGATGAAATCTGAGTTCAAATCCTCACTCCAGCACAAAGCCCCAGTGAGCAACCTCAGCCAGACTCTCTGAGCTCCTTGGAGGAAGGGCAGGATTTAAAAAAATGTAAGAATGATGCTGTTTTGTTGGATCAGCCATGCTGCTATATATTCAAGTTAAAGTATGCAAAACCTAAAACTGATGGGTGTTTGAAAGGGTCAGTGCGGTATGTTACACATTGGACAACTTCTGTGTATAAATAAAACTCTTGTTTGGCAGCTCTGTTTTCTGTCATGTGTTACAACGTCCTCTGTGATAAATACGCTACTCGGCAGCTATATGGCTATTGCCCGTCATGGGCGTTGAACTGGGAATACAGGAAAAAGGCTATTATGCAGGAAATCTTAAGCTGCAATGCTGACATCATAAGCCTTCAGGTAAGGAATGATTTTGTTCCTTTTGCCTGTACACATGCATTTTAAAATGTGTTAAATCATATTTTTCAGTGTCTAAGACATTGCAAAGCATGATCTTATGCCGGTGCATTTGCAAAACCTAGTTGTCATCTACTGCTCTGAGTATTGCTTTCTAATAATATAGTCCAATAAAACAAAAAAAGAGCAAATTTGGATAATCTGCCCTCCTACCAGCAATAGTAGTGATTTCTGTGCTTGCCTTTCTTAATTGATCACTCTTATGCAATTCACTTGATTTCTTGCCGGTGAGAAAGGTGGGTTACATGGCTATAAGCCATGTGCCAGACCAGAAGATACAGTGAAGAGTTACAAAGTTTCTTTGCCAGGGTATACAAGGGCCTTGCTACAGAAAGCTGGAATTGGGGTCAGCCATGATGGCTGATATATACCTTGATAGCCATGGCAATTCTGTTTCCTGTGTGTAACATTACAGCCTGTCATTGCTTGATAGCTAGAGATGATCAACAGTTGATTAAAACTAAGTGTATTTTAAAGAACAATAGAATCCATCTACAGGTATCTTTTTTTGTCCTTCCCTTCCCTGTGTTGTCTTCACTACCTCTTTTCCATTCATGTCTGAAATATGGACCATTCTGACTTGATGCTTTTGCCTAGTTATGGGAATCTCTTCCCCTTTCTTTCTGCAAACTGGTCTTGTGTCTCCTGGAGAGTTGTCCTTCAGATTCTGATGACTTTTGCAAGGTTCTTGGCTGCCAAAATCCTGATAATATATAGAGTGTATTTAAATACTTTCTGTCCTTTCCTGTACCATGGTTTTGATACTATGTCAACTACTGAAAGGACAGAAAGTAAAAATAGTTGCAAAATAACATGCAGGGAAAAACCAGCAGCTCCATAGGAAGACACTGTAAAAAAAATTCCCAGAAAATTAACTTTATAATTAAGTGAGGCAGTTGGATCTGCTTACCTTCTAATCTTGTTGGTCAGGCTTCTGCTTCTATTGATGATCTGTAAATTAAAGGGAACAGAACTGATGAAGCCCACTTCAAACTGGTAGCTGATGGATTTGTTTTAGTCAGTCATTATTACTGTGCAGATCTGCTGCCTTTACTTGTTTGCCATATTTGGATCAGGGTGAAGGGGGACTCCCTGTTGGATCACTTAGTGGCCTGAGTTCATGATCTTTGACGTGGTCTCTGTGCTTCACACCCATGGGATCTAGTGCGCACACACTGGATCGATCGGTGCTGTAGCAAGCTCTTTTAACGGATTTTCACGCCCAGTCCCTTGGGCATGTGCAGGAACCCCACCGCGCATGCCCAGAGGGGTGGGCGCGGACATCCCGCCAGTTCCTTTCTTACCGCCGTGTTGAGTAGACATCTTCTTCGTCGGTCTGATCGGTTCGCTGTTAGCTCACCTCACAGCTCTTAGGAATTATTTCCAAACTTCTCTTACTTTATTTTTTGTTTGTTTCTTCTTCAAAAACAGTTTAAAAATATTTGTTTTGCTTTCGGTTGAGGGGAGTTTACCTCAGGCCTTC